GGAAAGGCGGACTCCCTCACTGAAGGCTGGATGGGTTTTTTTTTTTTTTTTTTTTTTTTTTTTTTTTTTTTTTAGGAACAGGTCTCTTATATTTCAAACAATCAATTTTTTTTTAATTATTATTTTTTTCCCCTTAATTTTTTTTCCATTTAAACTTTACCGGAAACGGGCCCAGGGCCAAGTCCCACTAGCAGCGGTGAGCTACCTCAACGCCTGAATCTGGACGAGTTTGTGGAGAGGTGCAGTTCAGGAAACTCAACACCATTTCTGCACATCTCCGCAAAACCGTCCACATTCAGGCGTTGAGGTAGCTCAACGCTGCTAGTGGGACTTGGCCCCCGGTGTCCCTTACAAAACATTCACAGCCCCAGATTTGCTCCCTGACCCAAGAGCCTAGCTCAGTGGGTACACCCATGACCTGTTGAAATACAGCCCTGTGTTCAAATCCAGATGATGGAACTTGACGAGTAAAACCAACTAATGAATTGCTTGGGGCAGGTCAGCTCAATGATAATATCTAAAGGCCGTCGCCCTTTATAAAACAAAACAAAAAAAAAAAGATTTGCTCCCTGCTACTCCGGCCGGGTGTTCAAACAATCAATTGGAGGCCGGGGACCTCACATTCATCCCGGGGCGTGGTCCCACTAGCAAAGAGGATCGGATCGAATTCCTGCATCTGGACGAGTTTATGGGAGAGGTGCAGGAAATCGAGATTGAACTGCTTTTCTGCATCTCTGCATAAAACACATCCAGATTCGGGAGCTCGATCCTATCCTTTTTGCTAGTGGGACCTCGGCCCCGGAAAAGGAAAAACCTACTGAGATCATTACTCAGCTTCGCTTACGAGAGATTACCAAAGCCTCATCAGGGCCGAGGTCCCACTGGGGAAGGGGATTGGATTGAACGCCTGAATCTGGACGCGTTTGAGCAAAGGTGCAGAATATGGAGCTTGAACTGCTTTTCTGCATCTCTGCTTGAAACTCGTCCAGATTCAGGAGCTCCAATCCTCTTTGCTAGGGGGACCTCCGCCCAGAGGGGGCTAGCTCGCCAAACGCACTCCAACTCCTTGCCCACTACCATACTGCGTGCGTCTTTCCACTGAATGGACGTTCTACAAAGCAAAAAAAAAAAAAAAAAAAAAACGGCCAGACGGGATGAGTCGGAGTGACGTCAGCGCCCCGCGGGCTACGTAAGTCCCACTTGCACGGTTGAGCAGACTCAACTATGGGCCTCGCCGCAACGCCACAGTGACTCCAAATGTGAAAAGACAAAAATGTGGGGGGTGCATCTGGCCATGTTCTAGGGACAAATTCATTCTCATTTTGCACAATGTCATTTCGAGAGTGGTGTGGCGATGCCCTATTGAGTTTCTATCATGTGTGACACATGTCAGCTCCAAATGTGAAAAAGACAAATGTGGCGGGTGCATCTGGCCATGTTCTAGCGAGAAATTCATTCTCATTTTGCACATTTCGAGAGTGGTGTGGCGAGATGCCTTATGAGTTTTCTATCATGTGTGACACAGCGCCAACGCTGCCAAGTCGGAGACGCAAAATCGTGGGGCAATCGATAGGTTCTTTAATTTTTTTTATTTTTTTTTTCTGGACAGCCACGCGTTTTTCTCTATTTTGTTAATTTATAAAATATCCGGAAAAAAATCGACAATCTCGAATACAACGCCCGCGCTACCCTCGCGTTCGAGCCTTGAGCAAGCTGCCATTTTTTTTGCGTTGGAGTCAGTTCAACTTTTAACACCATAGCCTGGCTATGGTGTTTTCTCTTGGAGCTTACCCTCCTATAGCTACTCTTGGACTGTCTTGGTGCTGTAACTCCTATCTTTTTTAAGAGTTCGTTCACGAAGCTTTTGCGCCCCGATTCCCGAACCCGCTTTTGCGTCCCGATTCATTCCAGACGGTGATCACGACCTTTGTTACTCTGCAGCATAGCCGCCAGAAAAAAAAAAGGAAAAATAAAAATAAAAAAATTCGTAACGGAGACCATCGGTCGTCGAACAAAGTCATTGTTCTCTTTTTCTCTTCTTTTTTTTCCTTTGAGAAACCATTGTTTTTTTTTTTTTTTTCCCTACGTGCTGAACTGCTTGTTTTGCCTCACACACATTTTCCGTTCAGATGCCGCCTGAAAATGACCGTGCCGTACGTTCTATTCGGGGCAAGAAGCTAGGCAGAAAGGGAGGGGGGGAAAAGAAAAAAAAAAACAGGGGCCCCCCAGAGGGGGGAGGCTGTGCCGGATGTTACGACGGT